GTTCATATTGTTTTAATTAAATGATCCGTAATTATTACGAAACTGCGAATGTTCATGTAAACTTGTTTTTTTCTGGATATAATTAACGTTCGAATACATACAGTGTTTATCAACATACAAATACGTATTTGATTCACAGTTTATTATTACGATAAATTATACATTTCATGCACAGATGTATCGTACCTACATTTATTACTATAAACTATAATTCATACTATTAAATATAAAGCATCGCCATTCTATATTTGCGTTATAATCTTTGCGTGCTAATCCGAAAATCTCACAGTTAATCGTAGCTATTACTTTCTCTTATATTTCAAATATGATTACAGTACACTAAAATGTGGTGAAAATTGTATACAGCTAACAAGGTGAACAATTTATTCTATTTCCACAAGAATTAATTTTCGATTTGTTCATACGCCCTACACATACACATATAGTCATCTGGTAACAAACTTTTTTTACAAATAAAAAAGATATAAAGCGAGAATACAAATTTTTGAAACTATTCTTTTATAACTTTATAACACATAAATTGGTAAATTGAAAGGAAGATGTTAAGAAATGGCCATTTTTAAAAAATGTCTGCAGGACATTTAAGAGCATCTCTCAAGTAACAAAGAATGTTCTTAGCGTTTATCCGAAATGTGATGGGAAAGTTGAGAAGAACGAGTGCAAAGATGAAAAAGTAGCAGCGGTTAGCCTTATCCGTACGTTACAATTAATCTTCGTTCTCTTCAAAATCTGATCCAGCTACAGAATAATTGTGCATCTGTATCGACGTGTTGATTCTTCGGAAATTCCGCTGATAAATCACTCGAAGTTCGAAATCGAGTAGATCTGAAGTATCACCGGATTGTTGCTACGTGAGAACAATAGCCAACAACGATCTTGTGATACTTGGAATTTGTTCGATTCTGAACTTTCAATCGATTTACCAGCAGAATTTCTAAAAATTATTTTATAGATGGATCAGTATCTGAAGAAAATGAAGATTAAATGTAACCTGTAGGGAAATTTGACCGCTGCCACTTTTTCATCCTGGCACTCATTTTTTTCAGCATTCCCATCTCATCTCGGATAAATGCCAGTAACATTTTATGTTCCTTGAGAGATATTGTTAAATGCGTGAATTTTTCGCTCGCAAGCAGACCCAAAAGTGGTCATTTTTTAACATCCTCCTTTCATAATGTACGTGAGAAAATCATACATTTAAAAGTTGAGTACGTGAAAGATTTGTTTCCAGATGAAGATATTTTCATCCTTTAAAATTAGAAATCTCTCAATGTTACAGCTCACAGTAAGAAGTAAAAGTGAACACACGTGTTTTATTGAAACGGAATAATTTTCTTAAGACGACCAAACTACTTGATTTGTTTCAGAAGTTAGAGGAACTGGCTCGAACATGTGACAAACTTTTTGAAGAAAGTGAAATTTGTCGGAATCACGAAGAAACAAATAAATGTTACTTTTTTACAACATTTTTATCTGAGTCTGTAATGGAAATTAGGACAACGAATTGGTACCAGTTATGTACCTATGTTCTGAAAATTTTATCGAAATCAATTAATATTGCTACGAACTGCAAACGATTAAAAACGGATGAAAATTACAGTTTTCGCAACTTCCGGTCTAAAATCTAAAGATTATTATGTCTTTGGTCGCCTGTTTCCGTATCAACCGATTTCGACAAAACCCTCAGCATGTAGCCACATAATTGACACAGATCAACAGAATGTGTTGGAGACAAAAATGTTGCAAAAACCAATTGCAATTCCTTCAACACTTTTCTCGCATATCATCTAGTAAACTAATCCTCGAAATTTCTCAGAACGAATCAAGCGATTGATTTTGATTGAATTTGAAAAAAAAGTTATTCTGTCTTGAAGGACGTGTTGTTCACTTTGGCTCTCTGTGAATATTATAATGGACATTTTGCTCTGAATATGGCGAATATTTCTCCATATTAATGCATTCTAAATCCTTCAACGCATTTAATATTCTCATAAATGCATAAATATCTGCGATTTAATTATGTCACAGTTCGTGCGAGACCAGCAAGCGTCCTAATGCTTATGAATGAAGGTAGTTCACAGGGAAAGTTTATCGCATAGATCATCTGGTTAGTAGATATAAATCTTTCCTCGCAGAGCATCGATCAAGCCCAGGACAGAATTTATATCCTAACGATTACACGTGAAGGAGCAAGCTGGACGAATTTATTCTTCGGTTCCCCTGGCTCAAAAATATGCCTCTGAAGCATTTTTCAGGAGAAGTGACATAAATTAGCAATGAAGTCGGTCATTTTTTCCACTTTAATTAATAATCAACGTTAGCTTTTTGACACAGGTAATTCCTCAAATTTTTTATATCTTTTATATCCAAATTAGAGACTCTGGCATCTTCTGCGTTCTTATTGCATTATATTTGTCGCATAAATCAAACTTTTTTTTAATACGAATTACAAACTCTTTTTTTAAGCACCTTGCAATGATACAATTGGTCGAAATATGCACTATTTTGTTCAATAATCTTCTAGCGTGTACAAGCTGGTGATATTATTCTATCAGTGTACAATTTCTGTTGTACTGTTCTGAGTAAAAACGTGACCTCGGAAAGGTTAAAGCTTGACCGATAAAACAATATTTACATATTTACTCAATTATTCAATATTTCTTTGATAAGTGAAGAAATTTTTAAATACGAGTGTATAGTAAGTTCGTTCATTCTTATGCATTTAGTTTTGCTATTATGGAATCTTCAAATGCTAAATATTCTAAACTTAATTGGTTTATACGAAGCATCGTCATTTGTTGCAAATGCAATATATATGTTTATCCTGCGTTATTCTTATAATTGGACTCTTTAGAAAATCGAACGCGCTATTCTAATAATCGAATTTTTCAAATAACCGAATAACTTCGTTTTCAGGTCAGAGTAGATCATTTACTTCGAATTATTTCATAAACATAATCATTAAAATGAAAACACACGTAATAACGCCTTTCAACTTTTCTCACAACGACATCATGCTCTAGTCTCTTATTAATTAATGTTCCGATACGCTCGATAATAATTAATATTTTCGTAATTGAAGTTGCTCTGTGCACCTAAACTACTGCCTTAACTATTGTGTTCATTTCATGAAAGCAGAAATGGATGAAGCATAATTTTTTCTATCAGTCATTTCTATATTTCACACTAATATCTATCTAAAGCACATTAACGTTGAGAGTGCACATAGCACATGCTACACGGCGACTACATTACATTTATCTACACAGATAAAATTTAAATCCAAATTTGTACTAAAGAAAATATAAAATTCCCGCAGTATTGTTCTTTAAAAAAAGTATTCGATATTTACATAATAATTCGTGTGAAACTGTGACATAACTACGCCAAAAAAAAAAAAAACAGTTATCATAATAATTAAATGAACTTTTGTCAGCCAAGTTCATTTAACGACGAAATTAAGAAACTTCCGACAGGGTTGGTTATTAACCAAGTAATTAGCTAAATTAGCCGGTTGATGTTATGCTTCTACAATCAGCCTTCTATTGAGAATATGTAGATTTAGATCTCCTGAATTGCAGAATTAATTTCCTAATTAAAGACTGTGAGTTTCAGAAATAGAAAACTAAGAAATCCCAGACATTGCGAAATTAGCTTAAACGTGAATTGGTTCTGATTTATGGTGAATAATATCGTTGAAAGCGTTTGTATAAAATATTCACAAGAAAAATTATGAAATAAAATACTAGGCATAGAACAGATACGGATAATAAGACAAATATATATACGCGCACAACACGCTTTACATTTCTATTAATAATATATAATATATGTATAATATACTATATAGGATATATAATATATGTATAATATACGATAATAAATTAGCATGTTAAAAAATATTTATAATCTTGCTGGTTTTGAAAAGAATGGAACAACATAATTAACAGAGAATCAAAGCATAATTATAACACGAGTAGGAAATTCAACATAAACTAATTATTTCAATTAATTGAATTAATTAATTTAAGTGCATAATATACGTACATTAATTTATTATCTATCTTTTGACGATGCAAAATTATTTAATAACTTATAAACAACGTGAAAGTTTCCTATTATAATTTAAAATATATTTTTGTTTCCTCTAGAATAATTTTGAACCAGTCTATTAATTACATAATTTTATAGTGATTTTTATCTTAATTCAATTCATCATATTTCACATTGCATACATCTTTAAAAATGTAAAAATAACTTAATTTCGACTACGCTACCGCTTCTAAATATATTTACAAAATTGAAAATTTGCAATCGTATGAAAAATATCTTGTTAAACAGACCTTTTACTCCTTTTTTTAACAACAAAGAGACTAAGAATTTTGAGCGCTAATGAAAATCTACATCCAAAACAAATAAGTAGAATGAATGAACATCCCAGTCTTTTTGCCACTATCATGCAAAGATTATCATATAGAAACAAAAATAAAGTAATTCGTATCGGACCGTATAAAGCACACAAGATCAATCCCCAAAACATCTCAAAGTGCAAATCCAAACGTAAATATGAAAAAACGCAGCCTCTTCGCATCTCCAAACATCCAACGATAACACGTTTTGGCAACAAGTTCCTCCAGAAAGCAATATTCCTCTCGCGTGTGCTGGCAGATCGAACGATCGCCACGTTGATCAAATTATCATGAAACAAATGGAATCCCGGTGGAGAACATCACTGAATTACATTAAATTGCTTGGCGAAAAAATTCTCCGACGATCGAACTGGGTGCGCATTTAGCAACTTGCGACTCCTTCGATCGATCGAGAAAGGAGAAAGCAACGCACTTACACAGGTAGCAGTGACACAATGCCATTCGTTATTCAGAGTGCTACTCCCTTCAGCTCATATTAATTTAAAACGCTCGTTTAAGGTCGTAAGGGATGGTAAATTTACTCTCTGTTTTTTTCCCTTTCTTTTTTAGCTCGGTCGACTCCGCTAATAGAGCTGCCTTTCTACACGAGGCACCTAGTGGCTAGAGTCGTATCCGACGTTCGAGTTTCTCTCTGTTGCACAGCCACAGGCAGAAGAGAAAGGAAAACGCGGCGAAAAATCTGAATGCGCGGCCTCACCAAGCCAGAACCAAGGCATAATTACGAAAACGCATTTATGAGCCGACGCGTATGAACGTTATAGAAATACGGGACCAGGGAAAAAATGTTAAAGCCTGGCATCGACATCGGAAAATTATTTTCTCAGCGACATTCCGATACATCGACCATCGACCGTCTCAAAAGCCTCTGGCTGCGCGTTTGAATTCGTATTTCCTAGCGCGAGTAATATTTCATAAAAAATAGAAAATGAAATATGTTTTTTTAGAAGTAATGCTAGTGTTTATGCTAAACTATTTAAGTGTACAAATATTGTATATTTATCTAAATATAATAGATGTACGTAAGAATATTAATGAAAGATGAAACGCATATTTTTATATTAAGATTGGAATATAGTATTCATATTTGGATAAATGGTGCTTATATAAAAATATATACATATGTGAGGATTATATATAGTAACACAGGACAATTTTTTATTGACTTCGTTCTCACTTTTATCAAATATTTCTCTCTTATCACCTTTATCAAAATATTTGTCTATTTTGTTACTCGTCAAAGTTTTGCTCCTAACTTATGTTGATTCCATCATCATGTTCATTTAAACTGAATGTATCTATTTAATAACATATTAGTAACATAAAATGACATCTATGATAAACGAATTATATTTACTTCTATGTATATAAATTATTATTTAATTTGATTAGCTGCAATCACCCTTGATACTTTCAAATTGTTCTGTTTTCCCGTTTGCAGCCATTGTGCCCTTGTAAAATATTTCAATAAATAAATTACCATTCGCTCGATTACCACAGCCAAACTGGATTTAATTAATTTCAGTAATCAATAATTAAATACAAAACATGCAATTACTTCTAGATAAGTATACATGTATTAAAGAAAAAATATTTTGTAATGAATTTATGCATTGAAAATGTGGAACATTAATTCTATATACGTTCCTTTATCGTCATTTTTTTATGGCTAGTCCATACATTTGATTTTGAACGAATGAACGTGAAATTATATTTTCTTGATATATTTCTATTCCTTTTAAATATTATTAAAATTATAATATTAAAAATCAATGATATAATAATTATATATAGAGTTTCAATAAACAAATATAAGTATCACTGATTCCTCTACACAACATAATACGAAAGATAACATAGAATATGTAATATAATAATATGAAATGTTTAAATATCATTTGATATTTGCGAATATGAAGATTTACAGAATTTACTTCAATAAACTAGAATTTGATAAAATTATGTTAAATATAAATACAGTCCATGAGATAATTAGAAAATCAAAAGAATACTACCTTCAAGTGAGGTAATCAGTATTTTAAAAATTCTCGAATCGTATAGGCTAAATATTTAACGAACGTTCTTTCATCTTTGGTTTTGTTCCTTTTGCAGAATTATTTGATGAATATTTTGCAGAAACATTGTTATTTGATTAATACTGCAGAAAAGAGATACATCGATTATTTTAGATATTGTACGTAGATTAATGCTGCATAATGAACTTGCACGAGTTTTGCGAATATTACGAAAGACATATACATATAGCACAATGAACATTAATTACAGTAGCATAAATCGTTATGCATATCACAAGATATAATAACTGATATTTTCTATCTCCAACAGTGAAATAGAATTATTAATGGCTGCTAAATATAAATCATGATCGTCTGTTGACACTTGATATATAATTAATGTAGTTAGATCAATTAAAAAATATTCGTGGAAATAAAATTAAATCGAAATTACTCTCGATAATATTACTCCAGTCGTGGTCCCGAAATGTCAAGTTAATGTTTAACGCGATATATTCTTACAACGTTCGTAAATTTTCGTTAACCACATTTTATGGGTCGCAGAAATTATAATACCATAATGAAAATATTCGAATGTTACAATTTGCATGTATGAAATGCGTGGATTTCCAATTTAGTACGAATATTTGTATGATATACGAAACCAGTATAAAAGTAAAATATAATAAAAATATAACGAGATTTCTGTAATAAATGATCAAATATTTTCGTGTAAACTTCAAACTCAAACGTTATTTTACGAATAAATTGAATAAGAGACCATTGGTTTTGCTATAAAAATACTTTTGTTCGCCATCGTATAATGAAACGTTCGTATTTAAATTACGAAATGATTTAAAAAACGAGAAAATATGAAACTTCGAGTACAAAATTCACGTAGAGGAGTGAATTTGTATTTTTTACTTCAAACCTCTACGTATTCAGTTTCATATATAAAAATTGTCACGATATATTTGCGTAACATATTTTTTGGTTTTAATTTGTTGCTAGACAATTTCAGAATTAACAACATCGAGGTTTACAAACAAAGGAATAAAATTGATGGGAAGCGTATGTTTGTTCGATTCATCTTATTTATTTTATCTGATCCAACTTATCGATGAAGTCAATATTAACCTAGTGCACACAATCGTGATATATTACAATGACTTCTGATGGAATCTATGACGTACAACGTATATACGTGTTCACGATCGCATTTCAATGTTTGTTTCTCTGGAAAATAATGATTCGATGAAATATGAAGTATCTGCGATTTGCCTATACGTATTTGCAAAATTTGCGAAAGTTTAAGTCGTATTGGTAGATCAGTTGGTAAGCATCGACGTCAACAAGATTTGTTACTCACAGGATTGTATACTTCCTAATGATTCTTAAATAAAATCATACACGTCAAAGACATATCAAAATTTGTTGAGAAATTTATCATAATATACTTAATATTTTTCAAACCTTAACAGTCACGTGCATTGATATCAATTTCTATTATGTTTATGAATTTCATACTCTTCGTGGCAATATCTTTATTTTTATGTGTTATACCGTAATGCATATCGTTATATATCTCGTGCAGCTTCTTATCTTGATCTCTGTGCTAAATTCAAATATTGATTAGAGTCTAGACTTCTAATAATACGATAGTTTCATGATAGGATGATAAGGAAACTAGATAAAATGTTACATACATTTCTATTTCTGTATTTCCTTCTTTAACGTATGTTCGCAATTTCTGTTGAATTGAAGCTGATGTTTCTTAGAAATTCAGACTAATTTCAAAACTAGTCATTTTTATAGATTCGTCACATATTTAAATAAAACTAACTTTAAATGCATATCCGATATGAATAATTTATAAGCTTTTATCATTTCAAAACGCAAATAAATTATAACACACGTATAAAAAATCTGTAAAGTATTGTCCTTTTTCAACTATTCCCCTTGTTGTTCTTTCTCCGACTGCGATTAGAAAACAAGGATATTAACTTGTGGACAAAAATCGTTATATCCTCTTTGTACAGCAATAAAACACAGAAATACAAATATACCAAGATATATCGAAATTCAGTTGAACTTTTAACAGACTGCGAATATTTATGCAAATTCATATTTTTCCGAATACAATTGAAAAACTGAAGCTTGGATAAAAGGTTATTTCATACGTTAAATACTACAAAAACTACTACACTTCAGATATTTTATATATTTTTACATATTCAGTGGATTTTGTATTTCTGCATTTCCAAATTATTGAGATATGTATAATTTTGTATGCTAGATTAGTTTACCCGCGTAGTAGTGACATACGTATGTGAGTACGAGTGTATGAAAGTATCTGTGTGCACAGCGTCTCGAAAAACAGATGAATACAATTGTTCCGTTAGTAGTGTGGTATAGAAGATGGTGAGACAAACAGAGTGCTGAAACGCGTCCAAATATATATCGACGAAGATCCTGTAAATCATTTATCAAATAAGCTAAAACTATTTTAATATAAATTCTAAGTGTAATCTAAGTATTCCTTTACTTTTATTTCGGCGATTAAGATCCACAATTCTCAACACTAATTTCCTACAGACGCAAAAAAATCCGCGGTCTTAGTCATAAAACTACATTTTATAAGATTACGATGTTTCCTCGAACCGCTCGTCGTTTGGAGATCAAGTACATGAACCTATAAAGGCTCTTGGAAAATAAGAATTCTGCTGAATTTTTCACGGGCAGCGTACACAGAGAAACTACTGTACGTAGAATTCCCCAGCTACGCCAACAGGAAACCGTATAAAACAGTACAAAACTCGTGGTCCCAGGAAGCTCATAAATTCAGCCTAGACCAGAATCCAAAAACGAATAGCTCAAAAAGAATCGAACCGCGTATCGTGGCAAAATAAAACGCCGTAGCTTCTCCTATCCTTCTATGCTGGATTCCACGGTTGCTACGCGATATCTCCGAAAACTGGTCTACACAAACGACTGTGTGTACCGTGAAAAGGTGCATAAATCCAGCTGGATGGATGTGTCGCGCATAAAACTCTAAACTCGATTGCCAGTGTCGGTGCGTGAATCAATAAAACGTCGCTTTATTCGAAAACGATAAGCCTTCACGGCGACAGGTAATCTGTCCAAGTGTCAGCCCGTGTTATTTCCATTTGAAAACATACCCAATTCCACTATTTATATATATATTTCTTGCTTTCTTGCTTTCGCTCCTTTTCCTTTTGTTACAGCCCCTTTTAGTTTCTTCACTGACACGAAGCAAGCAGACTTCAAGCATTGATTTTCCACGGCCCCGGAGGGACCGATTTCCCAGTAGTGTGCACGTCGTGTCACGAAGTTATACATGGTCCTGAGAAGAAGAGAAGTCGTGCGGCAGAAACGTGTGCGATGCGGTTTACCCTCGCGCTGGTTATTACTTCCTTCCGCTTGTTGCACTGAATCGATTCTGACTTCGACCGCCGAACATCTCCCAGGGATTATCCTTGACTCTTCAACGACCACGGATCTCCGCTAATTTATCAGCGAAAACAACGTGGCTGTATAAACTACAGGGTTCGATTGTTTGTGTTTCACGGTCGGCCACCAATCGTGGACCACGATGATACAATGATACGATGTTGTTCGTAGCTATGTTTTCAGTCATCTCGGGTTAAGGCTTGATCCCTTAACCGATCCATTAACCCATCAGAAACAACATTTAATCTGTAACTTTCTCAGTTACAGTACATTGTCGAATTTTGCGTTTTAGCATTACGGTTATAGAATCGCAAGAATTTGCTGAATCTTTTAGCTAAAGCTTTTCTAGTCGCCATTTCTTCTTCCACTCGTTCCTTGCAATTTAACAAGGTATGAAGAAATTACGAAGATGTACAACATTACGATATTAATTTTCCTTAAATCATCGAATATTTTCGTTATAGCGTAGAATATTTCTGATTTATGCAATGGACTTCTGTGTAGTATCCGCTACTTTAATACATTTTTTATGACATTCAATTCTTTTATAATAATAAGTCGCTCTATATGCGTGCTGGCGACGACGTATTTTTAAGAGTCGTCGGTGTCAGTTACACTAGCGTTA